AGCATCCTCCGCCCAGTAGCATCCTCCGCAGGGCTTCCCACTTCTCCCAGTCCCCGGGATGAGGCATGGGAGCAGTTGGGGTCCGGGCAGGACAAACCCAGAGGCAAATGTTCTTTAGAACATTTAAAACAGTGACAGCAGAGCTGAGAGCGGCTCTGTGCCGCTCCGGGCTTGCAACCCTTCTGCAACCTTGCTCGACCTGGGGCAGCTCTGCTTCGGCAGGGCAAAGACGAAATGCAGGAGGTGGAGGTGCTGATGGAGAGGATGAAGCTGCTGCAGGAAAACCAGCTGGAGGAGGAAGGTGTCACGCAGGAGGAGATGGCGACGCGCTTTGAGCTGGAGAAGACGGAGAGTTTGCTGGTCGCTCCCTCGGGTGAGGAGGTGGAGGGGTGCGGCTGGCTGCGGGCTTGGGAAGTCACAGGGAGGAGCAGGATCAGACCCCCAGCTGCAGGGTTGGCTCCGGCCGGGGTCACGCTGCGCATCGCTCACGGCGGCCGCGGTGGTGCCTTGTAGATCTTGCGGATCACTCCCTGCAGTCCAACGTTCTCTGCTTCGTGGAGGACCCCGAGTTCGGCTACAAGGACTTCACGCGGAGGGGCGAGCAGGCGCCCCCCACTTTCCGTGCGCAGGTGGGTGCTCGCGGTCCCGCGCCAGCCGGAGGGGAAGGGGTGGCAGGGTGCTGGGTGGCAGGTCCTGCTTGTCTTGGTGGGGGGACAGCGGGGCTGTTCCCAGGATCGTGGACAACGTGGGTGCAGAGGGCGAAGGGCTGGGACCGGGCTGGAGGGTGGGGCTGGCTGAGCATGCTGATAGTTGGGGGGGGGGTCAGCATGAGAGGGGGAGACCCCAGCTTGTATCCCTGGCTTTGAAGGGACCCCACGTTTCCCTGTTGAGCTCCTACCCCAGCACCCTTTCTCCGGCAGGATTACACCTGGGAGGACCACGGCTACTCGCTGATCAACCGCCTCTACCCCGACGTGGGGCAACTCCTGGATGAGAAGTTCCAGGTCGTCTACAACCTGACGTACAACACCATCGCCATGCACTGCGGCGTGGACACGTCCATGCTGCGCAGGGCCATCTGGAACTACGTCCACTGCGTTTTTGGCATCCGGTAGGTCCCCGAGCCGCGGCTGGAGCCTGTTCTCCACCTCGGGGAGAGCCCATGAGCGGGTCCAGCCCGGGAGCTTACGCCTCGGTCTTGGTGAGACTGTTGCTGCCGCTTAGACTAAGGCAAAGCGATGCTGTTGGAGGGCACCGATTAAGTCTACAACTACCTGAAAGGAGGTTGGAGCGAGGTGGGGGTCGGTCTCTTCTGCCAAGTAACAAGCGACAGGACGAGAGGAAACGGCCTCAAGTTGCACCAGGGGAGGTTTAGACTGGACATTAGGAAAAATTTCTTTACTGAAAGAGTGGTCAGGCCTTGGAACAGGCTGCCCAGGGAAGTGGTGGAGTCACCATCCCTGGAGGTATTTAAAAGACGTGTAGATGAGGCGCTTGGGGACATGGTTTAGTGGGCATGGTGGGGTTGGGTTGACGGTTGGACTTGATGATCTTAGAGGTCTTTTCCAACCTTAATGATTCTATGATTCTATGATTCTAAGTCTGGAAAGATCCCGGGGTGTGCGAATGGGCAGGGGTTGCACCTGGAATAACGCACCCTCCCCTCTCCCCCAGCTACGATGACTACGACTATGGGGAGGTGAACCAGCTCCTGGAGCGCAGCTTGAAGATCTACATCAAGACGGTGGCTTGCTACCCGGAGAAGACGACCAAGCGGACGTATACGCAGTTCTGGAGACACTTCAAGCACTCGGAAAAGGTGCTGCCCCATCCCTTCCCCCTCCGGGCAGGGTGTGGGGGGTGGTGCTGAGCCCCCCTCCCCGGTGCCCTGACCCCGCTCTCCCTGCGTAGGTGCACATCAACCTGCTCTTGCTGGAGGCTCGGATGCAGGCGGCTCTGCTTTACGCCCTGAGAGCTGTCACCCGCTACATGACCTGACCTGCCTCCGCTCCCTCCTCCTCCTCCTCCTGCCCCAGGTTTGGCGGGGGGAAAGGCCAGGGGGGAGCTGGTACCCTAAAGACTTTGCTGGAATATTATCTCCCCCTTTAAGGGGCCTGGAGCTGTGGAAGGAAAAGAGGGGGGGGCTTCCCTGCCCCCCTCCTCCTAGGAGAGGGGATCCCTGGGCTTGGCAGAGCTGGGGGTGCTCGGCTGCCTCTGTGCCTTTCTTGGGGTGAGCCTGAAGC